GATAAGACGTCTTAATTTGAAACAAAATGGCTATTTTGTAGTGATTTTTATAACATATTTATGTTATAGTTTTAAATAAATAATTATATATATATATATATATATATACATATATATATATATATATATATATATATATATATATATATATATATATATATATATATATATATATATATATATATATATATATATATATATATATATATAATGTCCACTTTTCTATTTAAGTGTGCCCTATCCCTGGTACTGAGCACTGTAACCTATAAATATAGCATACCTGGTAGATGTATTAAGTCTGAGAATTATTCATTTCATGATATATTGTTATTGTTTATGTTACAATATGTTTTGGGAATATAAATGAATGATCATGATAAATTGTCAAAGTTTGGGTGTTTATAAACAGTAATTCAGATTTTACTAACCAGCCTCTTCCCTGTATCTAAACGGTATAGCATGTCAGACTAAATGATAGTTTCTATATAGGAATACAGGTTCAATTCCTGTGGGAAAATGCATATTTTCTACAAAATTTCTTGAACATTCAGACCGATAAATGTAGTTAATATTGTTTTATTAAAAGAACAGAGCATTTACTTAAATAAATTGTATCTATAAAATAAACAGAATATATATATATATATATATATATATATATATATATATATTGAAGTTTTCGGCCCTTGTTTTGAAGCATGAGAACTCTTATGTAGCGATGGAATCATATTTTTAAATAAATAATTATATTTATGCTCTACTTTTGTATTGAGCACTGTTTTTAAAAATAATAACAAAAATACTAAAGAACTTTAAGAACTTTGGATTAGTTACCTAACGAGTTCTTTCCTATTTTCTATATATTTTCACACACACACACACACACACACACACATATATATATATATATATATATATATATATATATATATATAGGTAATAATCCAAGTGAATCTTTTAATAAAATATCAAAACTGATTCACAAAGAGAGCTCAATGTTTTATTCAAACAGAACATACATTACATCCAATTGGAACTAAGATTACTTCTGGGTAATAGCCATTTCATCTACAAATTAAAAATAATTAGCAGGATTTTTAAACCACCAGATGAATAAGAAAAATCAAATGAGACTGTAGCAAGATACTGAACGGACGACGGGTCAGCAATAAAAATGTGAAGAATTGTCAATCAGATGTAGCAGACCCCACCATATTTATTTGACTTTGATTAGGAATCATGTGGAAAAGGACAAGCAAAGGCGCTGAAGGTCACCATCAAATGTGGCGGTCACATGCAATTTATATTTGACGTAAAAAGGCACATAGCAAAAATACAAGACAGAACGTAATGGTTCAAAACATAACATTTGAATTTATTTGTTTTGATGTACATGCATGTAAGCAAAAGGTTTGATAGAGTTACATCTCTTAGATTTGGTAAATCTTTGTACCAGAGCTCACGAAGTTAAACTGATTATTAAACTGTAGTTTTAGAAGAATAAAGTTCCTGTTGCATGTTAGGAAATATGAATTGGAAAAGTTGGTAGAGTTCAGAGTTAAGAGTTCGTACTTGCATGAATGTTGATAATGTTCTTTAACGTCTGACCGCAAGGTTAAGATGGGAGCTCTTGAAGATTACAACTTGGCAGCAAGAAAAAAGATGAATGAAGAGAAGAGAAGAGAGATGCATATTCATGTTTTGTTTATATAAGGTTGTGTCTCACGTGACAGGCTACAACCTTGTGTGCAGGAAAACTATTCCTTGTGTGCAGGCGATCTGATTGGTCGGAATTGACCAATCAGCGAGCTAGTTTTGAGGAGATTAGCCAATGAAGGCTTGTTGTATCATCTGTATGTATGTATATGTGTGATGGTGATGATAATCACCACAAGAATGGCTTAAAATGGATTTTAAAATTCAGGTAAAAGCAAGAAAAATTATGACTTTTAAAATATAAAATTTTCTATGATTTTTCATTTCTGTTAGATAGTAATATTTTAATGTTAACATATGTTCTTTTCTTTTAATTTTAAATGAAGAATTTAAATGATGTATTTCCTAAATAAAATTAAATCTCTCTCTCTCTCTCTCTCTCTATATATATATATATATATATATATATATATATATTATTTAGTTGGATAGATGTGAGTGAGTTTGTGACCCTGGGTTTCACGCTTTAGCGATTGTCTGACGATCGCTAAAGCGTGAAACCCAGGGTCACAAACTCACATCTATCCAACTAAATATGTTAGCTCTCTCTGATATTGAGCGCTTTCTAATAAGTACCGCGCATATAATATATAAATAATTATACATATATATATTTATTTACATTTATATACACTTTTCACATATATATATATATATATATATATATATTTTCTTTTTTTTTACATTTTCATATATTAATAATTCCATTTTTTTCTCTTTAATATAAATTTATTATATCCATTAAAATTGGATTTATGATATTTTAAAAAAAAATAAGTTTCCCTATTTTTCAACTTCAGATCTATAGAAATTTGGTCAGTCTGCTTTATGTATCTCCTTTCACCATCCCCCATGTCGAGACATTGCTACTCTCTCAATAACTTCTTTCTTCTCTTTCTCTTTACTTTCTATCTTGTGTTTTCACTAATTCTTTTACTCTGTCTTTATTTTCTTCCATTTTTTTTTTCTTGCTTTTTCGCCTTGTTTTTAAATTCGTTTTTTAGCCAATTTGATTTTTTCTTATTCATCTGCTGGTTTGAAAATCCTGCAAATTATTTTTTTAATTTGTAGGTGAAATGGCTATTACCCAGAAGTAATCTTAATTCCTACTGGATGTAATATATATATATATATATATATATATATATATATATATATATATATATATATATATATATATATATTTTGAACAATAAAAATATTAAAAATTAAAACTTCAGACACACTGGGTCGTAGATTAATATTCTTTCATTTTTACTATTATTATTTCATTTAAATTCCTCGACTAGTTTCACCCAACATGGCCATCATGGGGAGAAGAAATATCTTTGCTTGCTGGTAGCAGTGAACTACAGAAAATTTATATATATATATATATATATATATATATATATATATATATATATATATAAATAAAAAAGAAAAGAACAGTAAGATATATAATCTGGTGTTCTTATAGATATTTTTATTTTTACAAAATAGTGCTCAATGTAAATTTACAGAGCATTAATATTATAAATTAATTGATTTAAAATATGTTTTTTTTAAATATATATATATTCATGCACGTTACATTAAATAATATAGACAAGTGTTGTCTATTTATTTTATGTAAATTTTTTCCATAACGTTTGATAAGTTTAATAGCATTATCGTTGAACGAAGAAAGAAATTCACAATATTGATCCATATTTTTTAATACAATCTAAGCTTTTCACTTACATAAGCCATTATCAAAGATGTCAATTACAACATATTAAACAATATACGGACAAGACAGTGATGATAGGCTGTCATTGTTTACATAGATGATTTATAAGCAACGATAAACACGTGCATATAAGATGCTAGAAGCGAAAATCGCACCGCATCTCATGATGTCACACATGACCACACGAGAGTGAATTGGAGAAGTATGAAGTATGGAAAGCCGTTGGTATAAACCAATGGCTTCTGTTACCAATTATAGACATTTAAGAATATTTGTAGAGATGCCATAATTGATTTTGTTTAGGTTGGGTTTCAACTGTTTGATGTATAATGCTTCAAGGATTTTTAGTTTTTGTCTATTGTCAAAGTATGGTTGTGTTTTTGACAAGTATTTTACGGAATTGTGTGTGTGGGCAGGCATGTTGTTTTAAATGCCTAAAAATGTTAGAGTTTTCATTCAAATGTAGTGTCAAGTGTCGTGAAAGCGAGTTTGTGGTATCGTTGCTTAGAAATCATCTATGTAAACAATGACAGACTATCATCACTGTCGTGTCCGTATATTGTTTATTAATAAAGAAGAAAACCCCTGGTCTATCATCTAAGCAGATGCATACGAGAATAAATAATAATAAAAAAAGATCTCTGGGAAAGCAATAAAAACTGCTTCAAGTAACATTAAATTCAAATCAGGAGAAAAGTTAATAAAAATCAACAATTGAACAATTGATGAAGTTTATAGAATGTGAAAGTGACCATATTAATATGGAAAACGTTAATATAAAAATTTATTCAGGTATATGGGATATTGTGTTAATTACATATATATTTCTATGGCCTTCCTCTTTTGTATTTATTTATAAAAAAAATAAATTATGTTACATTTAGTTATATATAAATCTATCCCAAAAATTGTACCATTATTTTGTTAGGTAATACCAATTTTAATGTGAAAACAACCTGCCTCCCCTCCAGATACTATTTAGCCTCTGGTTCTGAAAGTAATGTAAACTACTTTTAGTATGAAAATTCTTATTTGTGGGTACCCCTGACTTAAAGGCTGGACTCCTACTAAAGACATTTTGGTTGGATAGGTATGGATAACACTGGCTTATATAATAAAATCCAACATTGAGTCTATGACTAATAGATTTAATTTATACATCTCCATTGTTATTTACAATTCCTTTTCCTGTAATTCCTCTGTCTTTGCATTGAATATGAGCCTTATTTAAAATTTCTTCTCCCTTCTCATCTTTCAACAAGAATTCATTGTCTGCCTCATTCATTTCATCCTGCTTGTATTTTCCTAAACTAACATCCTAATCTTTTAAATTTGGAAGGTAAATAATGGCCAAACTAATTTTGTTCATTAAAAGAATCTAAAAATAAAAAAAGAATGTTAGTTTTGAGAATGTGATTTTTTTTCCCTTATTTTTTAACATTTTATCTTCCTTTCTGTTTCCTTTTTGCTTCCTCCCACTAAAACCAAATTATTTTTCACCCCCATCTCCTACTTCTCATTTACATATTTTAACTGATTTCCAAGATTCCATCTGAGTAACCCTCTCTTTTTTATGTTTTCATTCAAATCCTCCATCAAGTCATTTCTCATTCTTCTCCTCCTCCTTTACATTTTTCACTTTTCTTATTTCTTACTTTCTTTACTTCTTCATTCAAACCCTTCCAATTTTTGCTGTCATTTTCTTCTTCATCTTTTCAATCCCAAGCCTCCTCCTCCTTCTTCTTCGTCTTCTTCTTCTTCTTCTTCTTCTTCTTCTTCTTCTTCTTCTTCTGTTACATTTCCTATCTTTTCTACCTATTTTTTATTTTTTCATTTAAATCCACCGGCCATCTTCAATCATTCTTCTTCTCTTTCACATTTTTTCACTTTTTTCCTTTTCTTCCTTTTTCTTCTTTATTGCATCATTCAAATTCCTTCCCTGTCATTTTTCTTGTTGTTGCTATTCTTCCATTTCTTCTTCCATTTCTTCTTTGTTTTTTTCACTTCCAATCCAGCTTTATTTTCTCCTTCTATTGCTTCTTCTTCTTCTTCTTCTTCTTCTTCTTCTTCTTCTTCTTCGTCTAACTAAAATTTTCAAAAAACATTTTTTTCATCATATCTGATGGAAACTGTGCCTTGTTTTTGATGGGAAAAGTTTATTTTCAAACTTGAAAAATATTTACTTCTTAAATTTATCCAATAAATAATAATTTGAATGGTGAAGCCAGCAGCAACTGACAGTGGGGGAGGCACTCAATTTCATTAAATTAAAATATCAGATTTAAAAAATAGATTTTTCTTTGTTTTGTTTATGTAATAATGCTTTTATTTTGTTAAACTTACTTTATTGAGTCACCACGATACCTGATTGGCCGGCATTTTCTATCATTATCGTTTTCTCTCCGCATTTCAACGATATTTTTCATTTCTTTTTACTCACTCACTCTCTCTCTTTTTCACTCTTTCTCTCTCTCAGTCACATTCTCTTTCTCACTTTTTCTTTTTCTTACTCCCTTTATCACTTTCTTTCCATTTCTCACTCTCTTTCTCTCTCCCTCACTCACTCTTTCTTTCTCACTGTCACTTTCTCACTCACTCTCTTTCTCATTCTCCCTCTTTCTCACTTACACTCTCTCTTACTATCTCACTCAGTCTTTAAAATACTGTCTCTTTCTCACTCTCAGACTTTCTCACCCTCTCTCTCTTTCTCACACTCTTCTCACTCTTCCTCTTTCTCACTCTCTATTTCTCTATCTCAGTCACTCTTTCTCTTTCTTTCTCTCACTTTCTCACTCTCTTTTTCTTTCTCTCTTTTTTTTACTCTCTCTATTTCTCTCTCACTCTCTTTCTCTTTCTCACTCTCACTTTCTCCCTCTCTGCACAGAATTTATAGCTGGTGATGCAAGAAAAAATATTTTACTTTTTTTTTGCTAGTTTTTTAGTTTTTATTTTATTTATTTATTTATTTTTTTTTTTTTGCAATTTTCTGCAAAAAGAAGATGAAGCAAATTTTTTTTAAAATTCAAAATCAAATTAAAACTTAAACCAAATTGAAAAATCATGAAGAATTCTAATCAAATTTATAATGTTTGGCGATGTATCCCAAAATTTCTACCCGCTGTCAGTTGTGGGGACAAAATGTTCAGTATAGCTGTGACCATGTTGTTTTCCATTGGTAAAATGTATGATTGTGTCTTGCCAGTTCCGTGATGTCACTCCATAAATGCTTTCCATACTCACACTGGGTTCAAAAATCCATCAAAAGTGATGTTGACGAAGATTTTGTTTATAATATTTATTGTTGATATCACAATTTTTAACTCATTATCACAATAAAAATTAAAAAGAGATACTTTGTCAGTTGAATTGGATGAAACTTGAATATATATATATATATATATATATATATATATATATTGTATATTTAGGCAGCAATCCTTCCTTTATGCATGTTTCATTAAAAACGACAGACAAGGTACTATGGTTGAGCTTTTCATTTAATTTTTCTTGTGTTCTGACAAGAGCTTTCTTTTCTGGACAAAGGGTGTGTAAGAACTGTCCGAATGTTTTGTATTTCTGAGCACTTTCGGCTATACCTTTAGCCATTATCAAGGATGATTCGATTATCAGCTTAGTAGAGTGTGTATGTTCAGTGTGTGGTAGTGATGTTTTTAGTTTCCGAATACAGTTAGCACATTATGGCTTTGTTGATAGTTAATATTGTTAAGAGTTGGCTTTTTCTTTTTTATTATTAGAGCTTCTATTATTTTTAGTCTTTTTTTGCAAGTGGATGCAGTTAATATATTTGTGTTTTCTACTAGTATGTTCCTAATCGTGTCGGGTAAATCTGAGTGTGTGTTTAAATGTGTTCTGATGGAGCTGTGATCAGATAGGTGTAATGTAAGACGTCTGGATAAACATGTGGTTGTGTAGCCGATGTAATTATTTATGAGTCCGGTTTGGTGAGGAATGCAGTTCCTTAAAGAGCATTTGAACTCATAGATAATGTTTGTTCTTTGTAATTTTGACTTAGTTGGTGTGTTGTTATTTTTGAGGATACGGTTGGCCGTCTTAAATTTTTTATAATAGATAATAAGTTTGATTTTTTATTCGGATCAATCGGAGTAGTATATTTCTTTATAATATGCCTTAGAGAAGATTCGTCTTGTTTGTAATTAATATGTAATAAATGTGTATATGATTTTTAGCTGTGTGTTCGCTATCGTTATTACTGGCTTTGGGGAGGAATAGTCTAATTTGTTGGTCTATAAGGTAGTTAGGGAAACCGTTGTTGATTAGTGCTTGTTTAACCTTGTATGTCGAACGAAAGATATGCTTTTTGAATATCTGCTATTATTGACGGTTGTATAAGATCTCGGAACCTGCAAAGACGCAACGCTAACTTTTTCAAAATTTTAAGTGAGAATTATATTTATCGTCTCCAAGTTTTTGATTTTATAAGGAAAAAAAAACACATGCCTGATGATGAATAGAGGACTATTCGTAAGTACTAGCATTTTAACATCAAATAAACTGAAAACTACAGACATCAAGTTTATCGACGAAGATCAACTCGCACTACGGATTAACAGTATTTTAATGCATATATTATTTTCTAGCGATGGATGTCGCCAATAATCGCATTGATACTTCTGATTGATTCTATGTGTGATTATTTCTTTGTGTGTAAATTATATGCTGCCTAATGTTTTATGTTTATAAAAAACTATCGATCCGCAGTACATAAAAATTCCTATAAAAAAAAAAACTCCTACTAAGACATTACACTATATTATTGAACTATATACTTAGTTCATGACATAAAAACTGAATACACTTGTAAAAATAGAATACGTGGATTTAAAACATCACAAGAAATATTTAAATAAAATTCTCACTTAAAATTTTGAAAAACTTAGCGTTGCGTCTTTGCACGTTCCGAGATCTTACACAACCGTCAATAATAGCAGATATTCAAAAAAACATCTTTCAGTCGACATACAAGTATATCGTCTCCAAGTTTTTGATTTTATAAGGAAAAAAACACATGCCTGATGATGAATAGAGGACTATTCGTAAGTACTAGCATTTTAACATCAAATAAACTGAAAACTACAGACATCAAGTTTATCGACGAGGATCAACTCGCACGATGGATTAACAGTATTTTAATGCATATATTATGTTTCTAGCGATGGATGTCGCCAATAATTGCATTAATACTTGTGATTGATTCTATGTGTGATTATTTCTTTGTATGTAAATTATATGCTGCCTAATGTTTTATATATATATATATATATATATATATATATATATATATATATATATGTTTAGGCATGCATGATTGAGTAAATTACAAACATTATGTCTGCTTATTTTTATCATAATCCTTTCATATTCACAAATATTTTTGCATATATTACAGTTAATTTGTAATTTATTCAATCAGGCATGGCTAAAAGAAATTTTGTTGCCTAAATACAATATATATATATATATATATATATATATATATATATATATATATATATAGATAGATAGATAGATAGATAGATATGTTGTATATTTAGGCAGCAAACCTTCATTTATACATGTTTCTTAAAGACAACAGACAAGGTATTTTAATAAACATATTTATTTAATTTTTCTTGTGTTCGAAGAAGTGTTTTCTTTTCTGGACACAGAGTGTGTAGAAACTCTCCAAATGTTCTGTAATTCTGAGGGCTTTTGGCTATACTTTTAGCCATTATCAAAGATGATTTTATTTTGCTTTTAAATTGAGTGTATGGGTTGTTTGTATGTTTCTAGAGTTATAGGGATGTTTTATTTTCCAAACACAGTTAGCACATTGTGGTTGTGTTCATATATTTTATTATATAAAAAAACCCACTAGCAGAAACTCTTGACGCCTTAACTTTAAGAGTGAATGCACACTCAGATATAAAAGAGCAGTGATAAAAAAAAAACTTCCTAAAAACAGCAAATCAGAATCCATCCTCTCGACTACTATTCCTTAAAGAAGTCAACAATGAAAAACAAGCACTAGTTAACAATGGCTTCTCTAACCAACTTATAGACCACCAAATTAGACTATTTCTTCCCAAAGTAAATAATAATGATAGTTAACAGACAGTCAAAAATTATTTTTTACAAAATCCAAATGCACGTCAGCTATGAACAATATGAATCTTCACCTCCCAAATATCATAAATAAATACACTACCCCAATTGACCTGAACAAAAAAATTAAATTATCTATGACAAAAATTTAAAACAGCTAACCTTATCCTCAAAAATAACAACACACCAGCAAAATCAAAATTACTACAAACGAATATTTTCTATGAGATCGAATGCCTCTTAAGAAACTGTGTTCCTGATCAAAATGAATTCATAAATAATTACCTTGGTCATACTACTATATGACTATCCAGACACCTTATGTCATACCTATCTGATCACAGCTTGATTACACTTACTAGCCTCCATCCGAAACATACTAGTAGAAAATTCCAACAAAATAACATCATCCTTATGTAAAAAACTTCCAAAAAGAGCACACCCTTCCTTAAAGAACTCAACAATACAAAACAGACATTAGTTAACATTGGCTTTCCTGACCACCTCATAGACCACCAAATTAGACTATTTCTTCCCCAAAGTAAATAATAATGATAGTGAACAGACAGTAAAAAATAACAAATATTTTCTACAAAAGCTAAAAGCAGGTCAGCTACAAAGAAAATGAAACTTCATTTAGAAATATCATAAAATAATATCCTACCCTAATTGACCCCCCCAAAAAAAATTAAATTATCTATGACAAAAAATTTAAAACAGTTAACCTTACCTTCAAAAATAACAACACACCAGCAAAATCGAAATTACAAGAAATGAACATTATTTATTTCAAATGCCTCTTAAGGAACTGTGTTCCTGATCAAACTGAATTTATAAATAATTACATCGATCACACTACTACATGCCTATCCAGACGCCTTATGTTACACCTATCTGATCACAGCTCTATAAGGACCCATTTGAACACAAACACAAACTTACTAGACTCCATACAAAACATATGAG